GGAAGACCCCAGATGAGACATAGTAACTGGGGCAATGGTAATGTTGGAGACACTGAGATTGGCTAAGGATAGGGCAGGGTTCAAGGCAGGTGTACACAGGGTAGCTATGAGTTGCAACACCACAGAACAACAACTTCTCTAGTGAACCAGATAATCTTGAGTAGTGTTCTGCAAGGTCTTTGTAGCTATGACAATGGATTTTGGATCCAGTAATAGAGATAAATCTGGGGAAAAGTGCAGCCAGAGTGCTCCTTAGAGGCCAAGATAGTGAAGCTTCTTCGTCTTTTATACTTTGGACATCTCGCTAGGTGAGGCTATGCCTTGGGAAAGGCCATCATGCTTGGTGAGGGTCGACAAAGGAGATGAAGAGTCTCAACAAGATGGACTGATACAGTGACTTCAGCAACAGACTCTAGTGTGTCAGAGCTGATAAGGCTGGAACAGGGCCGAATTCAGGTCAGCTGTTCCCAAGGTCACTATGAGTTGTACTTGACTCAAAGGCACAAAAACCCGACAATAACAACAACGAAGCAGAGCAGGACTGGTGTTGGAATTGGCAGAAGGAGGTGTGGAGCATGGGGGACTTGATCTCTGGGGGCTCGCTTTGTGGATCCTGTTGATGGGGCTCCTCCTGGTGAAGTTAGTGGAGGTCAACTACAGCTTCTCCATGTTGCCCTCGTTCTTTTAACACTCTGAGACAACAGCCATCGGCTGGTTCAGTCCTGAGCAAAGTGGGAGATACAGTCACTTTATGTAGCAGCATGAAAATTACCAAAGTCTGGCCATTCTCATGCAATAACGTAAAATACACGGTGCAAATCAAGGCAGAGCTGAGAATTATAGACACCATCTGGGTGAAAAAGGAAGCAGAAGTGGGGTGAACTGGGGAGGAAGCAACAGAGAAGGGCTATGAGTTAAAGCTTAATGTTCGCGATATGGTGTGCTGGGTCCTCCACAGCCAGGCCCTTGACTACCCTTCCTATGAATCTTGCACCCTGCCCACTCCTGAAATTTATCTTCCGATCGTGGGGGATTTCAGTTTGTTTTTGGCCCCATCTGGCTTCCCCATGTGAAGCGAGGCTCGGACACTCTATGTACCTCTCAGCGTGTGTGCTTTACACCCCCTCATCCTGATACCACCTTCCCAGGAAAACCTCCCTTCACCTCTCCATCAGATCCCTGATGCACCCTGCATGTCCTCTCAGGGTCTTCCTGTTGGAATTTTCATTCCTTCATGTTTTCCTGCGAGTTCTGTGGGAACAAGGAACTTGCTCAATTCGGTCAATGTTCTTGTCCCTCTTGGGTTTGCTATATAGTTGGTACTCAACTTGTATTTACTGATTGAATAAATACAGACATGGAAAGGAAAGATGTATTCTTTTTGCAGACAACTAGGTATCCACGAAAAAAAATAATGTAACGGCTAATTAAAGGCTGACAAATTCTTAGAAAACAAGAACAAGCCTCTTTGCAAAGTATATTTCTGAATGAGCCTCTCATAGTAATGGCAGCCCTTCCAGGGAGGGAAAACCTCAGGACCTCTGTGGATCTGATTCGATGTGATACTGGCCTCTAGTGGATAAAAGTGAGAATGCAGGCCTTCAGAGTAGATGCTCCTTGACATAGCATTATTACAATAGCATTACTGAATGACGGGAAATCTGAAGTTTCTCAATTATGCCAGGGAAACTACCTTCTTCTCTCAATGGAAGATAGCCCATGTCATATTTCTGCCTCAATAATATACTATCCTTCTGACTGAGAGGTGCTGCAGTGTGTTGTTAGGTGCCATCAAGTCAACTATGACTTACAGGGACCCTGTGAACGAGGGATCTGACCTTGAACGATCCTGTACCTCCCCTTTATTCACATTAGAGCTTCTGGGTGCCTGGAGAGTGACCAGGAACCAATATTTCCATTGTTAATATTTTTCTTAAGTGATATTTTCAGCTTCCTGGTAGTTTTATCTAGTTTGCAAGCTTGGAAGTTACTAGACATGCTTGAAATAAAGCTCAAACCTTTATTCAGTGTCTTCGAGTTGGTTCTGCTCGTAGCTGACCCTCCAGCAGGTTTTCAGGAGGCTGTACATTGTACAGGAGATTGCCCATCTTTCTCCTGCTGGGCCGACCTATGGATACGAATCGATTGTGAAGAGCAATGTCTAAAGTACACACTCTACGGACTATCAGAAGGAATTGGCTGACACGGAATTTCATGAAAAATGAGCAAGAGCCTGTGGTGATGAAGAAAGAAGTTCAAGCTGCTCTGAAAGAAATGGCAAAAAACAAGGCTCCAGTAGCTGACAGCATACCAATTGACTATTTCAACAGACAGATGCTGCCCTAGATGTGCCCACTAACTTGTGCCAAGAAATCTGGAGGACAGCCAGCTGGCCAATGGACTGGAAAAGATCGATATTTGTTCCCATTCCAAAGAAAGGTGACCCAGCAGAGTGCGGAAATTATCGAACAGTATCATTAATATCACATGCAAGCAAGATCCTGCTGTAAATTATCCAAAAAAGACTGGAGCAACAGATCAACAGAGAACTGCCAGATGTGAAGGCTGGATTTAGAAGAGACACTAGGGATATAATAGCTAATCTTAGATGGATCTTGGCTGAAAACAAAGTATTAGAAGAATGTCTATCTGTGCTTCATTGACTATGCAAAGGCTTTTGACTGTGTGGATCACAACAAGCTGTGGCTGACTCTGAGAAGAATGGGAATCCCAAACATTCGATTGTGCTAATGCAAAACCTGTATCTGGAATAGGAGGCAGTCATCAGAACAGATCAAGGAGACACTACATGTTTCAAAATCAGGAAGGGGTCCACTAGGGATGTATTCTGTCTCTGTATCTTTTCAATCTGTATGCAGAACAGATCATCCGAGACGCTGGGCTGTATGTATGAGGAGGAATGTGGCATCAGGATTGGTGTCATCAATAACCTGTGTTATGTGGATGACACAACCCTGCTTGCTGAAACTGAGGAGGACCTGAAGTGCTTGCTGCAGAAGGTCAAGGACTGCAGCCTTCAATATGGATTGAAGCTCAACATCAAGAAAACAAAGATTCTCACCACTAGGCCAGTTGGCAGCATCAGTATGGATGGTGAAGAGATTGAGATAGTTGACAGTTTTAGTTTGTTTGGCTCCACACTCAACACTCTTGGTACCAGCAGCCAGGAAAGCAAGAGATTAACTGCAGTGGGAAAGTCAGCTGTCAGAGACCTCTCCAGAGTTGGGCTGGAGACTAAGGTGGAACTGATCCAGGCCAGAGTCTTTGCAATTGTATGCTATGTGTCAGAGAGCTGGATGGTGACTAAGGATGACAAAAAGAGAATTGATGCCTTTGACCTGTGGTGCTGGAGGAGTGTTGAATATACCAATATATCATGGAGGACTGTGAGGAGAACAAACAGGTTCGTCCTGGAGAGGGTGAAACTGGGCTGCTCCTTGGCGTCAAGGATTCTGAAGCTTCATCTGACATACTCTGGACATGTTGTAAGGAGGAACAGGTCCTTGGAGAGGGACATCACGCTTGGGAGGGTGGAAGGACAGACAGCACAGGAGGGGAAGGCCCTCTATGAGGTGGATTGATTCAGTGACTGGGGTAATTGGGATGGGTGTGTCAGTGACAGTGAGATTGGCACAGGACAGAGCAGGGTTTAGGGCTGTTATACACAGTGTTGCGATGAGTCACAAACGACTCAATGGCACATAACAACAACAAAAAGACTAAACCTGAAGTAGAGAGGAATGCTAAGCCACCTGTTATAAGGGTCAAAGGAGAAGTCCTATCTGTGTGATAATGAATGAAAAACCTGGTACCAAAGATGTGGCGAGAAACAAAAACTCAAGTGTGAACATACACTTTCTGCATTTGTTCCTTAGAACTAAATCAAATGAAGCTATTTAATTTCACTGGCTTTGCTCCCCTTGATAGCACAAAAGATGGCTAGGAATCTTGGGGTGTGCAGGAGATGCTGCTAGCCGCTCTTGCTCCATTCAACATCTCTGTCTCTACTTTTTCACTCCTGAGTTTTACGTATACTGTCACCCACTCACATTATCCAAGTCTTAATAGCGTCTTTAACTCTTTCACGCTCTTGATCTGTGTACAGGCTGCTGCTCAGGAAAGAAAAATCATTGAAAATCTGCAGAAAGCAAGTTCAGGTAGGAAGGAGGTAGTGGGAACAGGGCCCAGCAAGGGGCTGACTGTGTGTCCCTTCTTGAGAGCAGAGTGGCAGCAGGGAACTTGTTCCCTTATTCTACTGACAGGAAGGACACATATAAGCGGAACCCCTCTTTCCTCAAGGTTATTCCCAGTTACAAGGACCCTGCAGGTGAGGACAGCACAGAACTTTCCCAGAGGGTTTCTACGACTGTAAGTTTGAAGAGAACAGAACACACCTTTCACTGAGTGGTCACCAACCTGTCTAACAGAGGAACATTATAACTGGCTGTACCGTCGGGCTCTTACACAGATGCAAATGTTCAAGCAGGTCCACATTCCTTCATCAATGGGTCTTGGATCTTGACCCCCCGGTTCTCCAGTGGCAGCTACGTTGTAGCGGTGTGAAGATGCCCCACTTTCCTAACAGGATAAACTAGAAGCTCTCAGAGCAGAACTGGATGCAAGGGGTATTTTTGAGAGCTTTCCCAGATGCTCTAAGTTTCCCCAAACATGTGGAATTCAGACACTTGCATTAGAAAGAAGAGTGGCTCACATCTCAATTAAGTGAAATTGAACCGCTTGGCATCACTGGCAGCGACGCTGGAAACGAGGCCCAAACGTATGCATTTAATAAGCCTACCACCCTGGGGGTTTTCTTTTTCATCTACTTTTAAATTTTTTGCCAGCAGTCAATTTCAGAAACGCTACATTGTTGCTGACTTCGAGCAAAAAAGGAAACTGTTGCAAGAGCCAAGCACGGGAGAACCTGGTGACCAGGGGCGTGTGTCCCTGCGGCCAGCCCCGTGGCCCGGGATGCCTACCATTTCCTTGAATGCACTTTCAAGGGCCCCGATTACTAGGCACTCGTGAGGAATCTTCTTCTCGGTAAAGAAGCGGGTGGGCGGCGTGCTGGGGGAGCCCGGGGCTCCCGCCCCGCCGCGCAGCGAGGCGGCCCGCGTCAGAGTCCGGCTGTTGGCGGGCGTGTTCTCGGGCTCCTCCCCCAGGCAGGTCGGGGGGAGCACGGCCGAGTTCTTGAGGATCTCCACGATGTCCTGCAGCTGCTCCGTGATGTGGTGCTGCAGCAGTCGGGATGCCACCACGGCGGCCCCGGAGCCCGCGTGCCCGTCAAACAGCGACCAGTAGTGGCAGGAAACGCCCTCCGCCTCCTGGGGAGAGAAGGGCACAGTGAGTAGTGAGGACCCCTGGTGGCCCCGCCCAGCATCGCAGCGCCCAGCATCGCAGCGGCACCGCGCCGCCTACTGGCGGTTTACGGCATTGGCCTGGTGTGTGGGCCAGCAGTGGGGTCAGAGCAGGGGACAATGTCTCATCAATGGAAGGGTCCCCAGATTTGTTACCATCAGCCAAGGGATGAGGTGGTCCCTCCTCTCCACTGGGGAAGGACCCCTAATTACCATTTGATCCCAGTCTACCATTTGAAATACAAAGGCCAACTTCTAATTTGACTGTAGACTTAGGAAGTTTTAAAATTCCCCACATCTAACTTTTGGCCTTTTTTTTTTTTTTTAAATAATTTTAATGAACATTTACAGAGAATTTAGATTTCCATTCATTCATTGCTGCACTTCTCTACCCGCTCAGCCCTCTCCCCCCGTCCCCCAGTTTGCTCCTCTCTTTCAAAAGTAAAAGAAAGACTCCCTCCCTGGTGCACAATCCCCCCGCACCCCTCCCACCACCCCAAGTACATCCACTATGCAACCTTAATTGTGGACTCTTGTGATAACCATAATACCCTATCATACATCGCTTTTAAATTATTCAGTCCCTCATCTGTTTCAGTGCAGTATACACAAAAACAAACAAACAAACAAACAAAAACCAACACCCAAAACAATAAAAAACCTCCACCCCACAGTACATTAGACCTAGAGCCTTTGGAAAAAGTTAAGAGTGTATGTGCTTGTGTCTGTGTTTACTTTATTATCTCTTTGGAAATTGTCCCAGTTTTTTCTGGTCCATATGCTTAAGTTTCAGAATCTTGTTTCTTCTCCTACGTGCTCTGTCTAGTCCAATTAGACAAGATTGGGCCAACTGAAATCTCTTTTTCATATTGCCTATTTACCTCGGTTTCAAAGCATGGCATGCAAGTATCTTCTTGTTTCCCTGTTCTACCCTCACCTACGTGCAGTCCATGCTTCCTCATGTGTGATAGATTTAGTACCTTCCAGTCAATTTCTAAAATGTCTTGACAGTAACCAAAACCAGCAGACTCTAACTCATGGTGACCATATGTGTGTCACAGGAGGGCTGTACCCATGGGATTCCTGTGGGGGATGTTTCAGAAGTAGATCACCAGGCTTCTCCTTTGATGCACCTCGGGGTGAATCTGAACCCTAGTCTTTTGACCAACAGTTCAGAAACTCAATTGTTTGCATGACAAGGGGCTCCACTTCAAGATGACTAAATGAAAGACCCTGTGTGTATGGCACAGGCATAAGATCTTGGCTACAGATGAAGAGCAGCTCAATTCTGATGCACCTGGAGGGATAGGCCTTTAAATACTAAGATTTAACAAACTTTTGAAATATTTTGTTTTTAAAGAAAGCTATTAAAAAGAACAGGTATGGTGCATACAAAACTCCACTTTTTTTTTTTTTTAAGTTTTTCTGACTACATGTTTATTCAACACAAAACAATTCCCTCCAACTTTACTGAGGTGGCTGACCACGTCCACGACCAAATCCGCCTCTAAACTGGAATTCAGTTGCTGACCCAGCCTCAGCCTCGGCTTTCTTGTCGGCACCAGGAGGCACTGCACTCCGTCTGTATGTGTCTCTGTCAGCCTCCCCTCGAGTCAATCTTGCAGGTCGTTCACCTTCCAGACCTTTCGGTCGTGGCCTGCCAGTCTCAGGTCGGCTGCGGCGCAAGGTGGCAGGAACAATTTCAGGAGGCAGATGAAGGTAATCACGTAGATACTGGATACCCTCGTTGGTAAGGTACCAGTAGAAATGTCTCCAGGCGAACTGTTCCTTCACATAACCTCGTGACTTGAGACTCTGCATGGCCTTCATGACATGAAGGTTGGGCATGTTTTTATCTGCCAGTTCGGGGTGCTTTGGCATGTGGACATCCTTCTTGGCCACCATCACCCCCTCCTTAAAAAGGAGTTCATATATAGCAATCCGGTTCTTCTTGGGCATCAACATCTCGACGTTGGATGGGTCCGGAGCCTAGACTAAAACTCCACTTTTTACTACTAGAGTTTTCTACCCCACAGTAACAAATATTGAGTCCTTTTTGCTTGTTTGCTAGTTTAAAACTAAAATCACTGAGAGTTATTTTGACCCATCTTGGCACAATACTGGAAGATACTGTATGGTATCTGTCATGTGCCATCTGTCTGTACAGTGTTTGTACCTGTGACAAGTTTGGTTTCATTCAATCCTGTGCTAAGTGTATATGACATGGTTTGCTAGGTTATTCTGGGGAGTGGGGAATACAATACTTCCCATATAAATTAATGGTAACTGCTTCTTCACATTATGCTATTTTGGCCTAAGAAAGGTTTCCCAGGAACACTCTATTTTCAAAGTGTGTGTGTGTATGTAACCTGTACACCAAAAAAAGAGACTGTGGAGAAGAGAAAGAGACTGAGGAGAAGCTCAATATTGTCAGTCACAAGGTCATGGCCAACTACAGATCAGACCATCAATAGTTCATTTGCAAGTTTACACTGAAGGTGAAGGAAATGAAAACAAATCAATAAGACCCAGTGCATAAACTCAGTGAATGAGACCAGTACATCTCACCTAAATTTAGAAGCCACTTCAAGAATAGATTTCACACATTATGACCAAAGATATTGTGGAATGTCGTCAAGGACATTATACATGAAGAAAGCAATAGGCCATATAAAGAACAAGTGCAAAGACTCTTACTAAAGTTACTTATCATACTGTATGCAATACTCTTGGCACCAGTGGTCTGGAAATAGAAACAATTGTATGGAAAAATCTCAGAAACCTCTCCAGAGTACTAGGGAGGCACAATGGCAGTCTAGAGACTAAGGTGGGCCTGATCCAAGCCATGGTCTTTGCAATTACTTGCCATGAATCAGAGAGCTGGATAATGAATAAGGATGACAGAATAATTGATGGCTTTGAGTTGCAGTATTGGAGAAAAGTATTGAACATATCATGGACTGCCAAGAGAACAAATAGATTTGTCCTGGACAGGGTGAAACCAAGTTGTATCTTAAAGGCAAGGATTATAAAGCTCTGCCTGACATCCTTTGGGAATGCTGCCAGGAAGGACTAGTCCCTGGAGAAGGATACTGTGTAAGAGAGGAAGATTTAGAGGAGATGGATTGGCACAGTAACGGGGGTAACAGAGGCAGGAGTGTTGGAAACAGTGAGATCGGCTCAGGATAGGACAGGGTACACGACTATTGTGCTTAGGGTCACTATGAGTTGCAGTCAACTCGATAGCACATAACAATGAACAACATGGTGACTGCTTACCTGTTAGGAAATTGCCAGCTTGAGAAGGTAGAAATGTTCTGGAAACACAGAGGAACTAATTAGCAATAAGGGCAGAAACAAGACTAAAAATAGGAAGGAATGCACATGCGGTGGTCTCCAGGGCAGACTTGGAGGGGTCAAAATGACTGGGGTGAGAGTTGAGAGCCTGGTGGGGCAGAGTCATCAGTTTCGAGTTTCTGGCTTGTTGTTAGGTGCCAGCAAGTCGTTTCCAACTCACAGCAGCCCTGTGTTCAACAGAACACAAGTGCCCCAGTTTGTGCTGCTGCCCACATTTCCACCGCAGTCAGTGAGTGAATCCATCTCATTTAGAGTTTCTCTCTTTTGCTGATACTACTTTTAAAAGCACTGACATCCTTTTCCAAGGCCCTAAACCTCCTGATAGTATGCCAAAAGCATGTGGGATGAAGTTTCATCACCACTGTTGCCAAGGATCACTCTGGCTACATTTTTTTTTCCAAGACAGATTAGTTTGTTCTCTTGGTGGTTCACGGTACATTCAATATTCTTTGGCAATACCACAATTCAGAGGCATCAATTCTTCTGTGGTCTTTCTTTCTTTTTTTTTAAACAGTCCCTCCGTAAGTACTATCCACTTAGCTTTGTATCCAAAGACGAAATTTGTAGGTGAAAGTAGTTAGCCTTCGTTACAGACTGGTTAATTTCAGGGTCGAAAATATGGAACGCTTCACGAATTTGCATATCATCCTTGCGCAGGGGCCATGCTAATCTTCTCTGTATCATTCCAATTTTAGTATATGTGCTGCCGAAGCAAGCACTTCTGTGGTCTTTCTTATCCAATGTCCAACTTTCACAAGCTTAGGAAGCAATCGCGAATACTATGGAGGTCCCCTGTCAATGTACCTTTCCGGCCATTTTTTAATAATCTTCAGCAAGATTTTTCTTGTTTGTGATATTAATGATATTTTTTTATCACTTATGCATTCTGTTGGATTACCTTTTTTTTTTTTTTTGGTCTTTTTTTAGAACACATAAGGATTTTTTTCAGCCAGTTAGCTATTTTACAAATTCCTTGGCACAGGCCAGTGAGCCTGGCCAGGGCGGTTCTGCTTGCTGAAAGACCTCAATTGGTATGCTGTCCATTTCTAGAGTCTTCTTTTTGCCAATGCTTTCAGTACTAGCTTAGACTCCTTCCTTCAGTGCTACTGGTTCTTGATTATATGCTACTTCTCAAAATAGCTGACTAATTCTTTGTGGTACAGTGACTGTGAACTGTGTCCTATTCTTTTTGAGACTCCCTGTGTCCACAGACTCATTCACAACTGCAACTAGAAGCTTGGATTTAAATCAGTTCTTTCTGCTTTAAAAACATTGAGATATTCTTCATTTTGGGATTTCTAATTCCAGGTCTTTGTATATTCTGTTATAATACTTGATGCTAGGTCTTCTTGAGCTGCCCTTTGAAATCTTCTCAGTTCTCTTATTTCATTATTTCTGCCCTTGGCTTTAGCTTTTCTCCTTTCAAGAACAAGTTTCAGAATATCTTCTGACATTCATTTCCATCCTTTCTTCTCCGGCTTTCTAATGACATATATATATATATATATATATATATATTTTTTTTTTTAATGACCTTTTGCTTTCTTCATGGATGATGTCCTTGGTGTCCTCTCATTCATCTGGTCTTTGGTCATTAGTGTTCAACACAT